TAGGAAAAATGGTACTAGTCATTAAAATAAGTAGTACTTTGGAAATAGAACTATTATCTAAATTAACTCTGATACTGGATTCTGTGATTAGACTTATTGATTTATTATAACTAGGCTAAATGTGAATTACGAAATGATGGATTTATCCATAATAATTACAAAATTATTATGGAAATTGAATCAGTTGTGGAAACAGGGTAATGAAAGTTTTGGTAATTTATTCAAGGCCACAGTTTGTGAACTAAATTCCAAATTCAGGTCACAATCTGTTAAGCCAGTGGTACTTAACTAGAGAGGAACATTAGATCACCAGTGGGTCTTTGTCAGAAAGGGAAAGAACACACATACACACATGTGCGTGCACGCACACACACACACTTTCTCTGGATATATACCTTACATCATAGACTTTTCAGTTACTCATCCCCCAGGGCTCCAAATGGCACTCAGACAGGAATTTGAGAAAACATAGGGGATTCTGTTGTACATAATTAGTTAAGAACCACTATACTAAACCATGAACACATACCTTTTATGTCTGTTTATTTCTTTTGAAAATAGTATGAACTGTTTGGAATTACTTTGGTAGAAGTTTTAAGTTTCAGAAAATTTTAAATTGGAAGTTGCTGTTAAAAATTCATACATATAAGCAACTTTTGCCAATTTTTTTTAATTGCATCTTTAAAGTCGCAATGCAAGCTTAAGAACATAAAATGTGTAATTTGATTTTATTTTTATAATTATGTTATTTCGTGTTCAGTTAAGAGATATGATGGGATAGAGACTGATTACAGGATCAGCTTGAGGAGGGGGTGATGAGATTGTCACAATTTTCCATATAAGCAGGATTCTTTCTGTCTCTGGAAAATATCAATCAAGTGATAGTCTAGATCTGGAAAGCCATGCTGAAATCTTGTTTGCCTTTAAATTTTAAGTGAAGAAAGTATTTTTTAAATGAAGAAATGGTCATTTGTTCATCTTTTCTCTAGAACAGACGTGGCAAATACTAATTTCAAGACTCTTTTACTTCAAAATCCTTCTCAATATGCTACTCTAGGCTGCTACTGTTAATTTATTGGAATTGACACGAAGATGAAACCTATTTGGCATTTCTGCTCTAGGCAGTATTTTATTTTATTTTTGTCAGTTTTGTTTAGTTTAAATGGTGTTATAGTGTTCCTGTGCTTCAGTGGTATTTTCTTTGGAAATTAAAAATAATAAATAGTGGCTTTTAACATAAATTACATGAATGGTAATTTACAGAGGACCCGTCCCCAACAAAACAAACAAAAGGCAGGTTAGCTAGACTGTTGAAATTAGGACATTGTTTTAAGAGATAGCTGACCACACATCCCGTGAGCCAAATTTATAGCCTGTAAACTAAGAATGATTTTTACATTTTTAAATGGTTGAAAATGGAACAGTATTTTGTGACGTGTAACAATTACCTGAAATTTCATTTTTAGTGTCTATAAATAAAGTTTTATTGGAACATAACCATGCTCATTCATATACTGTCCTGTGGATGCTTTTGTGCTGTAATGGCAGAATGGAGTAGTTGTGATAGAGACCACGTGGTCTGCAAAGCCGAAAATATTTACTGTCTGGCCCTTTACAGAAAAAGTTTGCCATACCTTGTTTTCAGATAATAATGTGACAGTGCATGATTGTTTTTGGGTTATTTAGTAAAGGAGGAAACTTATTTTGCTGGTATTTTCAACAGGTTTCTTCTTTTTTAAATTTTTTTTATTATGTTCAGTAACAAGTTTCTGAAAAGGAATAACTTAGAAAATAGGTATTTTTTTACACAGGTAAATAGTAGAAGCAACCCTTTTTTTTTTTTTTTTTTTTTTTAGACTACAAAGAACATGGAGTTACCAGCCTTAGTTTATAATAGGTCTGCTCCTATTATTTCTTCCGTCGTTGAGAGGAAGTCCAGAGCACTCATACTGCCACAGATTTTAGCAGCTTATAATCCCATTTGTGTCCTGAGACACTGCAGAGCTGCAGCAAGTTCTCATGCTTTTTGGTTTCAACTTTAAGACTTTTAAAAGTGTAGAACCCCAGAAAGTTTTTTTTTTTTTAAATAGGGATTTTATCTATCATTCTTATCACATTAGAAATTGACAAAATTTTAAAATATTTATTTAACAGTAACAGTAATCCAATACATGTTCACAAAAGAACATTTTTATGAAAAATGTTTTCCAAAACAAAAAAAATTAATGAAATTTTTGCAGATCTCTTTAATGATTGTTTTCATGGAAGACAACTGGATTCTTGTATCTCTTCCTCCATTAAGTCTGCTGTGATACGTTCTTTTGATATGAAGGAAATGTGGTCATACACAGATATAGTTTTAGAAAAAAATGAGTATTTTTAGATAATTGTGGGTGTTTTTCTCTGATATTATACCAAAACTCAACACATGGTAGATATTTTGCTTTTTTTTTTTAAGTCAGGTTTATTGAAGTATGATTTCCATAGAATAAAATATATTTTTTTGATAAAACAATTCTTTGTGATTAACCCATAAGACATAAAACCTTCGACCACAGTTACAATGTAGAATATTTTGGTCACTGAAAAATTTTCTCAAGCCCTTTTGTAATCAGCCCTCTCCTCTCACTCCCAGCTTCTGGCAACGTCTGATCTCATTTTTGTCCCCATAGTTTCACCTTTTCCAGAATATCGTATAAATGGAATCACATATAGCATAATATGTTTGCGATTTATCCATGTTGTTATAGTTATCACTAGTTCATTTCTTCTTATTGTATGGATGTTTGTTTATCCATTTAGCAGTACTGGATATTGAGTTGTTTCCAGTTTTGGGTTGATTATAAATAAAACCATTCCAAGCATTCATGTACAGATTTTTGCATGAACATATGTTTTGATTTCTTAGGTAAATGCCTAGGCATGGTATTGCTGGGTAGGTAGTATGGTAGGTGTATGTTTACTATAAGAAGCTGTCAAACTGGCTTTCCAAAGTGGGTGGACCATTTTGCATTACAGCCACCAATGTGTGAAAGTCCCAGTTGCTCTACATATTTATCAACATTTGAGATTGTTTTTGTTTAGCCATTTTAATCGATATTAGAATTTCAGTTTGCATTTCTCTGATGATTAATGATACTGAGAATCATTTCATGTTAGTGTTTTCCATTCATATATCTTCAGCAAAGCATGTTATTTTGAATCTTTTGTCCATTTTTTTTAGAAATTTGGTGGCTTTAAAAAATTACTATTATTGAGTTGTGACAGGTTTGTCTATATATTGAATGTCAGCATTTTTTTTAGATAACATAATTTGCAGGTATTTTCTCCGAGTCTGTGACTTTTTTCCCCTTGAACTTTCAAAGAGAAGTTTTAATTTTAATGAAACATAACTTACCAGTTCTTTCTTTTGTAGTTCATGTCTTTCATGTTCTAAGAAGTCTTTCATAATTTAGGGTCACAAAGATTTTTCATGTTTTCTTATACAAGTTTTATACTTTTAGATTTTTTTAGGTCTTTGGTATGTTTAGAGTTAATTTTTGTAAATGGTTTAAGATACAAGTTGAAGTTTGTCTTGTTGTTGTTTGTTCATAAGATGTCCAATTGTTCCAGCATAGTTGTTGAAAAGACTGTGTTTTCTCTACTGAAATGTGTTGGCACCTTTGCTGTGTGTCAACTGAACATTATGTGGGTCTATTTCCAGATTCTCTGTTCTGTCCCATTGAAGTGTGTGTCTGTCTTCTCACTGAGACCACACTAGCTTGATTGCTGAAGCTTTATAGTGAGTCTTAAAAACAGGTAGTATGAATTCTCCTTTGTATATCTTTTTCAGAATTATTTTGGGTATTCCAGCACTTTGTTTTTCCGCATAAGACAAGAGGTAGTTTTTTAAAAGTTAGTTTTACAGTGCAGAATCTAAAACCATTAATGAACTTTTTGTCCTCTGTAACATTAAAATCTATGGGACTATCTTGAACATTAAATGGATTTTTTTAACCCACGAATGCTTTTATAACATCACATGTAATTCATTTAGAGAATATTGGTTCTCTGAATTATATAGACCTACTAATTATTGGCACATTTCATTATTCAATATTTAAAAGTTACATGTATTAATATCTCCACTGATCTCCTGAGAGAATTCTTTTTTTTTCTTTTTTAAGAGAGAGAGTGCTGCTCATGCAGGCACGTGCCAGTGGGAGTGGGATGGGGAGGGGCAGAGGGACAGGGGGAGAAAGAATCTTAAGCAGACTCCATGCCCTGGGCAGAGCCCGAAGCAGGGCTTGATCTCATGACCCTGAGATCATGACCAGACCCGAAATCAAGAGTCAGATGCTTAACTGACTGAGCCACCAGGGGTCCCCTCATGAGAGAATTCTTTAAGTGTTGGGAAAGTGTCAGGCTAATGGTGGTGATACAAATTTTCCAAAATCCTTCTTTTTTGCTTGAAAGATCAAATTTTATCATTGGCATTGCATACTGTCACTTGTTTTTCTTGAAGTAATAGGTTTAGTTGGTTCATTTTTGAGAACATGTCTGTCAGATACCCAAGTCTGAATAACCATGGTTGGTTTAATTCCCCACTCAGTCATGCAAAGGCTTTATCTTGAGGCAAACCGTTGTACTTCATTATGCAGCAGAACTGCTTTTGCTTAGTTCCCATTTTATCACACAGGATATTGAAACGAAATCTATCCAGGATCAAGATTTAATTAAATTAACAATTTTACTGCTTTTCATCCGGGACATTCTTAAATGAAGTGAAACTGTCCTTTTTCAGAGAAATCTTGAGATATATTTGGTCACTTTCTATTACTATGTTTATTATACTTCAAGTATGGAGATTGATGTGGAAACTTAAACTCAGTGTTACAACACTAGGAAGACAGTAAGTTACTGACGTTTTAGGCACATCTGAGTTTGAGTTTGGTATATGGTGAGACAATCTCTTAAGAGCTAATACAGTTATATTAAGTTGTTGTTTTATTATCTTATAGGTGCTATACTTGGTAGATCAGAAACTCAGGAGTGTATTTTCTATAATGCTAATTGGGAAAGAGATAGAACCAATCGAACTGGTGTTGAACCCTGTTATGGTGACAAAGATAAAAGGCGACATTGTTTTGCTACCTGGAAGAATATTTCTGGTTCCATTGAAATAGTGAAGCAAGGTTGTTGGCTGGATGATATCAACTGTTATGACAGGTAAGGAAACATTTTCTCCACACTCATTTTTACAGGGGGAAAGCTCAGTGCATGTATTTTCACTTAAATGTTTCTTTTTTAAGATGGGATTATGAATACAATTATAACATGCTTTAATGACAATATACATGTTTTAAAGTAGTAAGATAAATATGGCATGTTTATGTTTTATCTTTGGTACACTTTGAATAATCTACCATGTAGTGAGAACTATAGATAAGAACCTTTTTTTCCCCATATGTTATTAGTATGATAAACTTTTTTTAAGGTCAATTTTAAGGAAAAGGGATTTTTTAAATTGCTTTAAAAGACAGTATATCTGTTGAAAATCTATCCTGTATCCTCAAAGAAAGTAAAGCTTAATCATAGTATTTAATTTCCTTTTAGTTTCCCTATTTATGTATCTGGAAGAAATTGATCTTACTGCATTTTTTTTTTCTTGCAAAGTAGGCCTTTGTTCTTTACCCCTGAGAGACATTTTAACTTGATGTTCAGAATTACAACAGTACTAAAAGAGTCCTCATAGAAAGCTACATTTTATTTAAAAGATTTTGCTTCGATTGTTTTATTCTGTATTGGAAATAAAATACAGTAGACATGTTATTGACTGCCTGTGATCTTTCTGTAAGGAGAGCCATAGATGTTTGGTTGATTACTTATAAACTGCCTGGGCCACAGGATATCCACTGTGGGTGGGTGCTGATGGCTGGCAGAGGCTGCAAAGTCCTAGATAAATAGACATTTTGGAGCCAGAAAATACTGATACACTCATGGAACACTGGATACTTGCCTATCCCTTTCAGGAGCCTCAATTGATTACCATGAACCTGTGGTTGATTAGCCATATGTAATTAATAGCAAAATGTGTTGAATAAATCCATGAAAATTGAATTATCTCAATTTTTCATGAGAAATTAAAATCTTAGGTATATATTTAGTATTTAAGGTTTACTTCTAAATCTCTGAATTTTCCAAAGATTATTTCTCTGTAATTACACATTGTAGCTGCATTTCCGATTCTTAGCCTCTCTATAAATAGAGGTGATCATCAAGTGATATCTGCTATTATGAAAGGTAAGTAGGGCCACTAGGAAAACAGGATGGAGGTTACTCAAAAAATTAAAAATAAAACTACCCTATGATCCAGCAATTCTACTTCAGGGTATTTATTGAGGAAATGAAAATGCTAACTTGTAAAAAGATACATGCACCCCTATGTTTATTGCAGCATTATTTACAATAGCCAAGATATGGAAGCAACCTGTGTGTCCATTGATGGATAAAGAAAATGTGGTGTTTTTACACACACACACACACACACACACAGGAATATTACTCAGCCATTTAAAGAAAGAAATCTTGCCATTTGAGACAACATAGATGGACCTTGAGGGTATTATGCTAAGTGAAATTAGTCATATAGAGAAAGACAAATACCATGTGATTTTACTTGTATGTGTAGTCTTAAAAAACAAAAACAAAAAATAAAATGAACTCCTAGATTAGAGGCTGGGGGTTGGGGGGGGTAAGGTGAAATGGTTGAAGGTGGTCAAAAGGTACAAACTTCCTGTTATAAAACAAGTCCTGGGGTTGTAATGTATAGCATGGCAACTATAGTTAATAAAGCTCTATCGTATATTTGAAAGTTTTGATAAGAGAGATTTTTTCTTCTTCTTTTTTTTTTTTTAAGAAAGGGGGTTGGGGAGGGGCAGAGAGAGGGAGAGAGTGGGGCTTGATCTCATGACCCTAAGATCATGACCTAAGCTGAAATCCAGAGTTATATGCTTAACTGACTGAGCCACCCAGGTGCCCTGATAAGAAAGTAGATCTTAACAGTCCTCATCACAAGAAAAAAAATTTGTAACTATGTGTGATGTTGGACATTAACTAGATTATTGTGGTCATTTCACAGTATGTACAGATATGAACATATTATGTTGTATACCTGAAACTAATGTAGTGTTATGTCAGTTTTATTTAAAAACAACAACAACAACAACACAGGAAGAATTTTGGGGGAAAATCTTTACTCAAATTATCTTTTATTAGTTAGTTGAAACCAGAGATTCTTGTTCTTTTTGTGGTAACAACTACTGTTTAACAGTCTCACCTGAAGGATAGTTAAGAGAAAAAAAAAAGGATTCAAGAAATGTCAAAGTTATGGAGGAAAAGACAATGATAAAAAGAAGAATGAAATTGGATAATGAAAAGTACTTTTTTGAGTTAATTAGGCTAGATACTTAGTCATTTTCACCTCCTATAATTTGAGACATGATTCTAAATATTAAAATTTTAAATTCATATATTTTTATTAACTTGTTAAAATTTAGCTTTCAGTTGTCTTTTACTTTCTACTAAATAGGTATTGGTGTAGATTTAATTTTAATGTTTGATTTTGTTAAAACAGCTTTCTTCCTGCAATTTCTTAAGCTTTCCAGTTTATTTATTTATTTTTTAAGATTTATTTATTTATTTGAGAGAGAGAGAGCATGAGAGGGGGGAGGGTCAGAGGGAGTAGCAGGGATGATCCTGGGACTCCAGGATCATAACCTGAGCCAAAGGCAGTCGCCCAAACAATTGAGGCACCCAGGCGCCCTTAAGCTTTCCATTTTAAATTCAACCTGATTATTCTAACAGCCATCACAAAAGTTTGCAGTTTATTTTCTAAGATATGTCTTTAAATTCACCTCATGTTTATTAGCAATATTTGCAGTTTTGGTTTTTCTTTTTCTTTTTTTTTTAAAAAGGGTATAGCAGTTTCTTAGCAGCTGATTAGGGTTTGTTCTAGCAGCTAAATCCCTGTCTCCTCACCTCCTCAGTCAACCTAACTCGTATCAGTTTTTGAGTTACTAGGTTCTGTACGTTGTTACATATTGTTCTCCATTTGTTGGTTATTCCAACCCTGTTCATTTTGTTTAGGGAATTTAAATCTACTCCAAAAAATGACACTCTTAATTCCCAAACCTAGCTTGGGGATTAAGCTTGGGTCTCTGATGTTGAGATAGGTTCTGCCATGAGAGGAACTTGCATTATTTTGTGTATGTGTATTTATATGTGTGTGTATATATATATATATGTATATATGGATGTATTGGTGTGTACACACACACCTAGTTTTATTTATAGTGTTCAGTTTTGTACTTATGCAATGGGAAAGTTGTATTTCCTGTAAGAGAAAGCACTCCTAAACCAAATTTCTTCATTGGCTCTATGTTCCTTTTCAAGCTTTTCTAATAATTAAAAAAAAAAAAAATTTATCTATCATTAAAAACCAAATTTAAGCAATGTTCTCATGGAGCTAGTGTGATTACTATAAAAGCAGCTGTTTTGTTTTTGTTTTGATGAGATTTAGTAGCAGGATTACTGGAATGTTTTTGGCTTTTAAGAATTGATCATTGGATATTAATAAGAATCTTGAAGCTGACTATGAATGACTTTTTCATTATTTTATCTCTGAGAATTTTAGAAAAACACCCATCGTAGATTCAGTTTAATGTTGATTTTAATTATTTCTCCTTTGTTTGTTTATAGGACTGATTGTATAGAAAAAAAAGACAGCCCTGAAGTGTATTTTTGTTGCTGTGAGGGCAATATGTGTAACGAAAGGTTTTCTTATTTTCCGGAGATGGAAGTCACACAGCGTAAGTTCACAGGGAAAATACATAGGTCTGTTTGACTAGTACCCTGAAAACAAAGCATATTTGTGTTGATGGAATAATTTACTCCTACTTTCTCCTACTCTTATTTTTCTCCTAAAATTTGATACTATAATAAATATTTATCGTGGAATTTTGTAGATCAAATCTGAATTGTTTTTTTCCTTCCGTTTTCCACAGCAACTTCGAACCCAGTTACACCTAAGCCACCCTATTACAACATATTGCTCTATTCCTTGGTGCCACTTATGTTGATTGCGGGGATTGTTATTTGTGCATTTTGGGTGTATAGGCATCATAAGATGGCCTACCCTCCTGTACTTGTTCCAACTCAAGTAAGTTATTGTCTTGTACTTTGTGCTGTTTTAAGTTGTATATTTTAAAGAAATATTACTGTGGTGAAACCCACTGGGTTGCTGTAAATCATTATCTTTTGGTGTTAACTTTTTGAATGTTTATTGTTATGGCAGCCATGGCTAATTTTCCGAACTTATTGACTTGCTGTGTCCTAAACTTTTCTCACTTAGGAGTTAAGATAAAGTAGAACAAGGGGTATTCTGTTCTTTGGACAGTTTTACTGTCATTGTAGGGCTTTCAAGTGTGAGATTCACCCTGCTTTGTTTCTTGAGAAGTAATTGATGGTGGAGAAGTGATACCATAACCCATTCTTTCCCTCCTGTTCTTTCTCCCATTCCTAAATTTTTGTGCCTTTTTCCTTTTAACCATAGGGAGGGATTTAGTAAGGTAATCAGGAAAGTGTGGAAAAGAGAGGTTTCACAAAGGCATCAGGAAGGTATATCCAAAAAAATGTTTTTGGGAAGAGGAGCAGATGAGCAGTGCTTCTCTTCAGTTAGTATTGGTAGTTCCAAGTGTTGTTTTTGTTTTGTTAGTTTGGGTTTTTTGTTTTGTTTTGTTTTGGGTTTTTTTTGCAGCATATCAAGTGTGTACTGAAGACTAAAAGCTTTTTTTTTTTAAGACCAAAAACTTTTTTAATGCCCTTGATTCTCCCTCTCCTGACCCTGAATCTACCTGAAAATGTAGATATGGTAGGTAATCAGGTTAAATTAATGAAATTTTCCTCATTCTCTATCATGTAGACAGTTGGCACTGGTATAGTGGTTTACAAGCTCTTTTAATATAAGTAGTTAATATATTGCAGGCTGTGGAAAGGTGAAAACTATAGTTGTGTGAGACATCTTTAAACTCTAGTTTTTCCTGTGTTTCTTTTAACTCTTAAGATCAGATTACCTTGGCCTTCTGGATCTCTTGGTTTAACTTTGTTTCTCTAATACCACTAGGATTAATGGTTAAAACGTGATAGAAGAATGGTAAAGTCCTATAATTTAATGACCAAAACAACTTCTTCCCTGTAAGCTTTATTTACATAACATACTTCTTTCTCAGTACTTGCAGCAATCTGTTAGCATTAGATAATTGATCCACATAATCTTTGTAAGATGTGTTTATGGAGAAATAAACCCAAAGGTAAAATACCTTATTTGGTAAATTAGGTAAACACTGTTTTGTGCAGCTGAAATATTTTAACTTTTAAACATTAGTAACTAAGTTGTGGATTTATTAAAAATTATCTCTGAAAGTATTATAAAAATAAAAATTTTAGCGCCTAATAAATATATGTAGCTTATTCCAAATGGCCATAGGATCTACTTTGTCTTCTTTAGGTGGTAACTAGTTTTTATTTTATTTCTATATTTAGAAGAGAGAATGTTTAGTACTTAGAGTAGTGTCTGGATTTACCCTAGATTTGTGTTACGAAAGAAAAAAACTGGAAACTAAATTTAAAAACAAATTTGTTGTTTTTTTAATAGAACTTTAAAAATAATGTATTCTTATAGATAATTTTGATATTCATAGAATATTGGCACAAAGGTATGGTTGGACTTTTTTTTAGAGGGCTCAGTATCCTATATATGAGGCTACTTTATTTAGAAATGCTAATTAATTCAAGCATTTAGACTTTTAAAATGGAAAGATACAGTCCATTTCTGTGGATTTTAGATATTTGTTGCCATGTTAAAGTTATTGTACACATTTATTTAGCACTTGAATTGCTCTGTGGTAAATTTGCATACATTGTATGAATTACTGAAAAAATGAGAACTAGATTTAAGGTTTTGTGATGGAATGATCTGGAATCGTCAAGCTTTGTTAGGAAAAATATAAAACATGCCTAACTATGGTTTTTTTCCTGTCATGAACTGTGTTGTAGAAGAGGGGTTGTCATCAATTTGGAACTTTATTTATGTCATCTCTCACTGTGTCTCAAACAGTATAGTGTCATGCTTTAAGTCTCATTTTTGGTGAGAGGTTTATACAAAGTAGTTCTGCAACTGCTTAGTGCCCATCTTATTACAAAATGCCCAGTTTTATCTCCAATTTCAAAATAATTGATAATAACAGCAAGCATTTATTTGAACACTTACAGTGTACTAGGGTACTGGTAGGTTGCACATATGTATAGATACATAAGTTTTATATAAGAATATGTAAAAAACATAAAATACATAATTTTTTTCCCATGATTTCTAAATTGTGACCAGTATATAAGACTCATCTTTGGAATTTATTAAATAATACGAACTCGTGGGCCACAGCCCTGTAAGTATGGAGTGGGGCCTGAGGTACTGTGTTTCTAATAAGTTTTCAGGGTGATTGTGGTGACCAGCCAGGTGTGAAAAGCACTGATTTCACTTTACCTCACAGGGTTGTTTATGTAATTTTAATTTCCATTTTATAGATAAAGAAATTGAGACATAGCAAAGCTTGCAAGTGTCAGAGCTGGAATCTGAACTAAAGCTTTGCTTTTCTTGCTGCTTATCCTGTTCTGCCTCTTCCCCTCCCCCCCCCCCCCCCCAGAAAGCCGATGTCTCTGGTGTTTTAGATAATTCAGTAAACATTCCTGCCATTTCAAAATCATTCTGTAGGCTGATTTATTTTTCTACTTTGGATGTTGAAAAGTTTGACTACTAAAATGAGCAGTAATATCACATTGTCTCTCCCATAGGACAAAAGAGAAAAGTCATGGATATATCCAAGGGCATATTCATGTGTTTTCCATTAACAAAATTTTTTGGCACATTTTAGAATAAGGTTTATCGGCATGATTGGGTTGTAGGTAAGGAGTCCTGTGCTGCTGAGTTGATAGTGCCAATGCTTACTCGTTATTCAAGACTTTGATGAGGGACAGGAGTCATAAGTAAGGGAGACATACATTTGAAGTCTTGAGGTGATTTCTGTATTTCACGCCATGTTCATGTCCCCATTAATTCCCAAGACTAGTTAGGAAAAGATCTTATGTTCTTACGGATTTCTGAAACATTTTCCCTCCATATCTTCAAACACTTAGACAGTGACATGAAATTTTTCATTCCTTTTCTTAGGGAAACTTTTCCTTAAAGCTTTGGCTAAAGGCTGGTTTGTGAATTAACTGGTCTGTTTTATGACATTAGTCTTACCATGTGGTAATATCTTATTGACAAGTCATTCCTACAATAAGCGCTATACTTGAAGAGAATTTATAGTGGATCTCGCAGAACAAGCTAAAGTTATGTATACTGTGACCATTCGTTGGTCTGATCTCAGTCTTTTATTCTCATTGGGGGGTAAAAGATCAGTCTGTGGCATCCTGGAAGACAAGAGATACCCACATATATCTTCTTACTAAGCTGGTTCTGACAGCAAAATTATGGGGTTCTTTATTTCTAAGACACCAAGTTAGAATTTCTTCTGGTGTTAGTATTTTATTGTGAAGAAATGATCTAAGGATATACATGCTTTAAAATCTGGTCTTACGGCTCTTAGTAACCAGTAAAAAATATTAATTCTCAAATCTAGCATAGTAAGAGGAATGGAAAAAGTAATTTTGCTGTTTTTTTTTTTTGATTGAAGCCATTCTTCTTTCTTTATAACCTATAACTATTATGTTTCTAGCATATGTTTCTGTTAACATTTCTAACATTATAACCTATAACTGTTATGTTTCTAACATTGTCTTCCCCGTCACCCTGGATGAAAGCCTGGGAGACAACTACTACTTTTTTTGGCCCTGTCGTTTACCAAGTCCTATTCATTCACCTTTTCATCCTTCTTTTTTTTTTTTTTTTTTTTTAAGATTTTATTTATTTATTTGACAGAGACAGACACAGTGAGAGAGGCAACACAAGCAGTAGGAGTGAGAGAGGGAGAAGCAGGCTTCCTGCGGAGCATGGAGCCCGATGTGGGGCTCGATCCCAGGACCCTGGGATCATGACCTGAGCTGAAGGCAGACGCTTAACGACTGAGCCACCCAGGCGCCCCACCTTTTCATCCTTCTTGATCCTGTTGTAGTTCAGGACATTATTACATCTGAGGCTGAGATTATTTCTGTAATCTCATAGCTGGTCTTCTCTCTCTCTCCATCTATACTATTGCTGTCGAAGGGCATTTTACATGTCTGATTATGTTGCTTCTGTTTTTAAAACTGTTTGAGGGCTCTCAGTGATCCACAGCAAAGAATACAAAGTCGGGAGTATGACACGGGGGCTTCCATACCTCCATACATTTACCTTTTTATTCTTTCCTCCCGTTACACCCTAAGCCATCCATCGTATGCATCTAGAATGGTATTAGTTATGTACTGTCCTTAAAAGAATTGAGAAAATAGTGTTGAAGTCAGTTTCTGTCTTGTGTGATTCAGACGAATAACAGTTGAGAGAGGCTCTAGTCATTTGTGTACATGTTCCAATCTCCCACTTGACTGTAAGCTCCTTGAAGACCAGCTGTGTGTTGTAAATCACTGCTGTATTCACACAGTGTTTGTGCATATGACCATTCTGTAAGTGATGAATTGCCAAATTTGACTTTGTTGCATTTAGAGTTATACTGAGATGATAATGCAGCATGCCCAGGCATTCATTTAATAAAGAGCTTTAGAGCTTAGTTTTAAGTCTAGAGGCCATATTTCTTTAGGGTAAAATAAGTTGAAGTATTCCAGGCTTTCGTAAGACAGTGCCAGTATTCAGTTCTTTTTGGAATCACAAGCTTGAAGCATCTTTTTAATTTGCATCCCCTAGGTCCTTTTCTTTTACCTGTGCTGAAATTGTTTTTCCACATACAGGAATTTGCTCTTGTAACCTGCAGTGAGTAAACTGAACACAAACTGGTGTTTCTAGTGCTGGTGAGTCAAGAATAGGAGGGAATGGATGCATTGACTCTGTGATTCAGAAGTCTTACTGTGGTTAGAGTTAATGTGGTTTCAATAAAAGTGTGTGCATCGCTCTCAAAGCCATATGTGAGCTGAAGTTTCCTGTTAATAAGATCTGTGTTTATGCTGATA